CGCACACACACAAACACATATTATATATCCTATATTTAAATTAAATATTATATATACACTTTATTTTATTTTCTCTGTTTATTTTTATATTTTTATTTATAATATTATTCATCATTTATTTATAATGTGTTTTTTTTTATTTAAGCTTTATTTAACCACGAAAATAAAAAGTCTTAATCTCTTTTCTAAAACTTTACCAAAAACCAAATAATTTAAAATTCAATTGAATTTAGCATAAAATGATTAATATAAATTATATTTACATAAAAAGCATGTTTCCAATGTATTTAGGATCATTATGATAATAATTATAAATTATTTTTAACATTTAAAAAAAATGTTATTTTATAACATCAATAAAATGTTGATGAAAAAAATTCTCATTTTCTCATTCTTGAGCACATAACTTTTTTAGATACCTACATACATATATATATATATATATATATAACATACATATATTTTTCATTATTTTTTAAGCTTAGTTTGGGCTTAATCATGGACATATTTCACAGTATCCCAATGTTCCTAAAACAGGATTTATTTTCTTTATATGCAAATTCTAATTATTTTATAATTTGTTGTTTTTGTGGTGAAATGTGACCCGAACAAGAGATTTCATGAGATTCACCGCACTCACCGTGAGGACTGCGATCAGTGCCCCTTGCAGGAGACCCACCACCACGTCGCTCCAGTGGTGCTTGTAGTCAGACACACGCGTGTATCCCACATAAATGGCAAAGGCCACCAGGAAGAACTGAATTGTGGGCCGGAGGAGGCGGGCCCACTTGGATGCCATACGTGCCTGCACATACAGCTACAGAGGAAAAACCAGGAAAAACAACAATGGATTACACAATACTTTAAGAGAATATGGGGGAAAAAAATGCAAAATCAGTCTTGAGGGTTCAATAGCAGGAAAACGAATGCAAGCCATTGCAATTCCTTAAAAGTTAGAGGAAAGCACCTTGTGACAAATACAGACACGTCTGAACATGAGTGAAGCAGCCAGAAAACTATTAATTCTCCATCATGTCGCTTCAATCCTGTATGACTTTTTCTTTTTTGGAACACACAATGAGAAATTTCAGAAAAAGAAAAAAAAAGTTGTGCATGCTGTGAAGAGAAAACATCACGCAGGTTTGAAATAGCACGAAGGTGAGTAAACGATACGAGAGCTATAATTATTGGGTGTACTGTTCCTTTAAGCACCGTATACTGTCGTGATTTAAAGCTTGAGACATTGGGAATGTTTGCAGTCGTAGTTTATTGTCTCCGTGGTGTTTCCTGTTGCTCTGAGAGCTCTCCTTTATCTGTCTACACAAGTCTTCTGTGTCAGCATGATTGCAGGAGAGGAAGACAACTGTGACAACTCACCGCCAGAAACAACATGCAGTACATCCCGAAGGAGGAGTGACCGGAGTAGAACGACAGCCTGGCGCAACACAATCCACGGAGGAATACAAGATACGAGACAACGATACAAGCAGAAAGGAAAAAGAATCATTATCACAATCGTATAGTGTGACACATTTATGGGCCATTCTTCACTTTCATACTACGTTTCAAGATTTCATCTGTGTTAAAAGATTTATCACATGTTCACTTGACCTCCATGTGCCTTCTGGTATGATGTGCGATGATGTGAATTTTTACTGATCCGTTTGGTAATACGAATAAGAAATTCATATAAAAGTAATAATAAAACCTAAACCAACTAACCTTAAACCCACTCTGAGAAAATCAGTTTAGTGATACGTGATGTAAAAATCCAAAAAATATATTCTTCAAACTCTCAGAGATGGCACTTTTTTCATTTATATCATAACCAAATATTATTATTATTTTTTTATAAACATTATCACCTATAATATTCAGCATATTGCTTGTGACAGCGATATTGATAACCGCAATTCTTGGTTAAAAGGGTTATTTAAGTATTATTTATTATATGTATGTATTATTATTATTATTATTATAATTATTATTATTTCATTATTATATTTACGATTATATTAAAATGTATTATAGTATTTATGAATATTTAGAATTAGCTTTTTTATATTTTATTATTTTTATATTATTTTCATTTAAGCACAAGTCTTAGTCCTTTTGTTATATGCTTTTTTTTTAAGCCTTACTTCAATTTCAGTTTTAGTAATTATGGTAATTACTTCAATTTTGCCCTATTTCGGTTAGTTGCCAAAATAACATCTAACTTTCATTCAAGTTTTTTAAAAGTTTTTCAGCTAATATTTATATTTTATTTTATTTCAGCTTTATTTCAAATACCAAAAACATGTTTTTATTACGTTTAGTTAACAATAACAACACTGATGAAGAAATTCAGAAAATGTTAAAAATGAGGAGAAAGTAATTAGACACAAATAAAAAAACAAACATTTAAATCTATTTTAATCTATACTTTAAAATGAGAAGGATTACTACTACTATTAATAATAATATATTTCAAATCAGAATAAAAAATAAAAAAAAATTGACAAAGCAGCATTACAGGACTCAAATATTTCCTTTACAGAAAAAAAGATGTGCCAGACTAGTGCATGTATAATCAAATCTATGATTATTTCAGGTCTCTTGAGGACATGTGACATTTGAGAACATGAGTGAGACCTTTGCACTGCAAAGGTCAAATCCTAAGAAAGCACCAATGTACTGGACAAACAGGAAGTGAAACAACAGGTGACATATATAAACAAGTACAGGAAGTAGTGTTAGCACTTCACGACCCCTGACATGGGCCCTTCCCGTCCCCTGCTTCTGTACCTGGATTCGGTCACGTTGCGAAAGCTTCCCGTGCAGTTGATCTCCAGCGTGTAGCCCTCGCACACTTCTGGAGCGCACACCGCGATAAAGTTGGGCCTCAAGCGTCCGATGGTGTACTTAGCCATATCGGTCAGAGACTGGCTCACACACGCGCCGAACAGAAACGTCCCCACCACTTTATAGAGCGCCGCAGCGTACTGGTTGAAGTCTGAATTGGAATAGAGACGTTTGGTGTAGACCAGGCAGGCCTCTCCAGAAGTGATCTGCAAGTGAGAAAACAAGATTTTCATGTTTAACGTTTCTTAGGGTTAATAATTTGAATCTTGAGAAATACACTCTTAAAAATAAAGCTTCTTTATTAGCATCTATGGTTCCATGAATACACATTAAAGGGGTCATATGATGCGATTTCAATTGTTCTTTTCTCTTTGGAGTGTTACAAGCTCTTGGTGCATAAAGAAGATCTGTAAAGTTGCAAAGACTAAAGTCTCAGATCCAAAGAGATATTCTTTATAAAAGTTAAGAGTTAACCATGCCTACCTAAAACGGCTCGTTCTAACGCGCCCCCACATGTCTACGTCACGATGTGGGAAGATTTGCATAACGCCGCCCAAATGTTCATGCAAAAAAAGAAGGCGTAACTTTTATTCTCGCTGTAGTATTGTTGCCGCCGCCGCCATGTCGTGAAGACGCTGTGTGCTTCGTTGTGAAAGCTAAACTACTTTGTTTGGTCTTCCAAAAGAGGACGATATCCGCTTCGTCATGCCTGGAGCTGATCTGTGCTGGTCGCTGAGGGAATACATCAACTTAGTGCTGTGGATCGTGCACTAAGTGGAGTGCCACAAGGATCTGTCCTAGGTCCTCTGCTATTTTCGATATACATGTTGCCCCTTGGTAATATTAT